CATCCTCCCACCTGCTCTTCTCATACCTCCGCCACCCTCACCCTCACCATCCCTACCCAGCCCCGCTCCAGCGCCCCCAACAACAGCCTCACCCTGCTGTCCCTCGCTCTCACTAACAAGCTTCTGCACCCTCCCCACCCTTCCATCTCGTAACCTCACTTTCACACCTCGAGGATGGTCCCCACGCGTCAGCAGATCGGCGACGATACCGCGGACTTGGTGTCCGGTGGGTTGATCCTGTTTGAGTATTATCGAGACGCTTGTTCCGGGGTGGATGTATGCGAATGAGGGGACAGGGGGTTCGTCGGGGTCCGGTCTGAAGTTGGGTCTGCCGCGACCGCGGCCTTGTCCTCTGCCTCTAGATGCTCCTCGTCCTCGTCCTCGTCCTCGGTCTGAGATGGGGTTGGAGTCGCCGCGGCCGCGGCCCGTGTGGGTACCTCTTGATGATTCTGAAGAAGGCGGTTGCCGGTTTGGACGGCCGCGTCTGGAGGGCGGTTGTTGCATGATGTGTATAGGTCGGGTTTGATGGCGCAGAAAGAAAAGCAGCGTTTAAAAGCCGTCTTAGCGAGCCCTTTGTTCCTCCAATGAGCTTTTCAATCTCTTTCTCAGGATGTGTTCGGATAGTTGTTGTATTCGCCTTCCCAAAATCGCAAAAGACGACTTAAGATCAAATGCTGGTGGAAATGATGGTAGCTCAAATTGGCACAGAGCTAATCTGATACAGGAAGAAGAGTTGGCGTGAAAGCCAGCATTTTTCGGAATAACTGTTATCTCTGTAAAATGAAATGTTGATGTTGAGATTTTGAACGGGATGAGGATGTTGTAGGATATTGGCGTTAGGGCGGTTTGCACAGTATTTTAGTGCGCATTACGTCATTTGCTCGCTCCATCACATGTAGCAATACTTATACCACACTCCAGCCCGTGAGACATACAGGGATATAGGCAATAGTCAAGCTCGTTTGGAGATTTTTCTACGTACATGTACGTCTGGTTAAAGTAGCGCATCGATATCCTCGCGATATCAGCGTCTTTCATACAAACCACGCACATCACACTGTACACCTCCCGCCTCCATCATCATTGTGCCTTCCGCAGACGGTACTCGCTATGTAGTCCTCATCGACCCGTATATTCGTCCCGCCCATCCCGCCATTATATCAGTTGTAGGTGACGTTGACCCCACGTTGACCGTCAAGACTATTAAACTCGTCCCGCAGAAGCCAGAACCGAACACCGTTCCCTTCCTGAATGCGTCCGTGAGCCTTGTGATGCCTGATCAGCTTCTGTCGGCGATTTGTATACCCCCTCATGAACTGTTCATCATCCTGCCAATCCCGAAAGATGTCCTGTGCTACTCTGACAGCGGTAGGCCCATATGATGAGTTCCTTCCGTCAGGGACATTCCTAACATTATCGTGCTCGCAGTCGAAGGCTCGGAAGTTTCTGTTGGCGAGATCAAGGTCGATCACATAGTCGAGTGCGTTCCATCTGAGCTCAGCGAGCTTGTCCTTGATGATGTCGACCTCGTTGTCTGCTTCCGGGTCCTCATCCATACGGCGATCAGAGGATGGAGGATGTCCGACAGCTTGGATGTTCATGTCCGCCTGCATCTGCGCCTCTGCTGTACGGAGCCTGTGACCATGTTAGTAGCTGCTTAGTGGAAGGGAAGCGTGACTAGGTTTTGGGTAGGCCTGGAGGAACTCGCAGCACTCTCATGATTTGTGGGAGTGGTAAAGATACACTGAAGGCCTTCTGGGTCGACCAAAGAATCCCGCAAAGCGGATAACAATGCGATGTAGTACGTACCCATCTCTGGCTGTCTCGGCATCAACGAGTTTCTCTTGAAGATCTTCGAGCTCTCTCTTTTGACCGTCGATCTTGCTCATCAGGCGCTGCACATCCGTAGTGTTGATGTTCGCCTCCATAACATACTGACGATTCTGAGCAGACAGCTGGCCAACCCGCGTTTGCAGATCGTTAAATGCCGCTTGACTGATGGCCATCTCGTTGGAGCGTGTGTTGGCATTGGAAAGCTCGCCCTCAAGAGAGTCGACTCTGCCCTGAAGACGACGGACATTGGCCTGGAACTGTGCACGAGTATTCGCTGCATCTTGTTCCGCTGTAGTCGTAGCGCGTCGTGCGATGATCAGTTCGGTATCCTTTTGCTCAATGGTGGATCCGAGCACCTGTACTCGTGCGCGCAGTGACTTCGCTTCAGAGACCGTGATGATATTGAGCTTATTCGTCCGCTCCAGATCCCTTTCCCGAGTCTTACTGGCGTCGACTTCACTTTGTAACCGCTGAATCTCCCGCTTCAGATCGCTATTGTTGCGGTCCGCGATAGTCAGCTCCAGTGATAGCCTGAACAAGTCCCTCTCGTCGTCGCTATCAGAGCCATTGTTCTCAGATGCGACTGCGCTGTTGGGGAGGGGTGTAGGCTGCTGCTGTCGTCCTAGATGACTGCCGTTGTCATCGTTGTCGAAGGCGGAGGAAGCCATGTTTTCGCGCATTCGATGACCGATTTCTGCGCTGCGTGTGTGTGCTGTGGTGATGTTGGGCGAGCACCTCGGGTCGTACATACCTGATGCAGAGTAGGGCCCATGCTTGGCGGACCGTCCTCACCAGGGAGGAAGGCACGCCAGGCGCAGATGTGAGCGATGAACGGTGAACTACGAAAGAGAAAAACTGAAATAAAAATGACAGCGGCTGGCCTCTATAGAAGGTCAACCTGCGAGGTTCGCGACAAGTTCTGACGCTCTCCGAGCAACGCGATAGGATGATGGCCGCTTGCTCACACCGTCTATTCGCGCCGGTGAGAGAACACAGCCCATCCAAGCAAGAAATGAGAGTAATTCTTGAAACGCGAGCTGCAGAGATGTGATCATTGTACAGATAATCATATACGAATGAGAGATACAAGCGAAAAGAACAGAAAGGGTTGACACATTCTTGTGTTGTCAGGCGGCCAGTTATCACTCATTACCTGCCAGGGTTGCTTCTCCATTGGCGGCGATGTTGATACCGTTTGACCCGCCGATTGACTTGCTGCCGTCGGAGCCCTGTGTGATGCCCAGGTTTCCACCGAGGTTCGCCGCAGCACCGTCCTCGCCGAGGGTGATACCAGATTCCTCAGAGAACTTCTCAGACTCTTCAGTAGCCTTGACGCCATTTGACTTCTCACCCTCGGCCTCTTGAGCTTCCTGTTCAGCTTCTTTCCTTGCTGCTTCTCCTTCGGCGCGTCCGGGCTGGTTCTCCGTACCAGCGCCAGCACCAGCCGCACCTTCTTCTGACTCTTGCTCGGCGGCGACAGCAGGCTTTTCACCGGCGGTGGCGGACTTCTCGCCCTCTGCTGCTGAAGACTTGGGCTCCTCTGCGGCTGCCGCAGTACCATTGCCCTGCTGATTTCCGCCGAGCTTGAGACCGTTGCCAGTGATACCACCGCCTGAGCCGCCTAGAGTGAGGCCTCCGATCGTGAGACCACCTCCTCCGCCACCTTGCTTTTGAGCCTCGCGGCGGCGACTTCCTCCATGGGTCAACGAGTCCAAGCTCTGAAAGTCTGCGTCACGTCTGACAGGGTGTGCGCGATACGAGCGAGAGGCAAGGTTTGCTTTAGTCTAGCATGAGTGTCAGCATACGCAGTGAGTGACAGGCTTTAACAAGAGAGATAACGTGTTGAGTAGCCAAGATGGTGCATCGGATCAACATACTGCCCATAGCGTGCGAGGGGGAACGACGAATGCATCGACGCATGATACGGCCAGTAGACCGAGAGTCAATTCCAGAGAGAGCTTCATATCGAGAGAGTTTGTTGATTAGCGGATCGAAAGAGGACGTAGACGAGAAACAGCTGTCCGGCAGCAAGATGAACAGATGACTGTGAAGTAAAGCGATGGTACTAGTGAACTCATCAGGTGCACCTCCTGAGGCCTACTGCGAATAAATGCTTCTCAAGCCCATGAGTCTCAGTGACATTTGCTTCCCTCAGCCACCCGTCGTTGGCATTGCCAGAATTACATGATGGAACGCTTTCACAACGTTTACAGGCCAGCTTGGCGATCCAGAGTGGTCGGAACAGTGTGTCAAACGCCAGTGCGCGGCGGGGCCGACCGCTCGCTAGGATGCTGGGGTTCTTCATGTCGCACAAGCGTCGCAGCTCCCGTCAGGGCCATGATCTTCGGCTCTTCGGAATTTTCGGCCTCAGATGAAGCCGTCTTTGAAAGCCCAGATAAGAGCTATCCCCATGGTTAAGCAATCCAAGTGCTGTCTTGTGTGTAGTGCCATGAAAGCCAAGACCGGATTTGAATGGGATCCTGACAATTGTGTACGGTGTGTTGACTGCTGGGTTTCGAATCAGAACAGAAACTAGTTGTCGTACGAGTTTCTCGGTTGTCAGAGAGCCTCGCGGTATTGCTGCGTGCATCGCGGGATCCCGAGGTCTGTCTAGCAAAACAAGACCACGTGTGGACAGACATGATCAGGAGCTCCACACATCCATCTTGTGACTGCCTCTATGCCACGGATGAACGCATGTTATTCGCGAAAGGCATGAAGCGAAGTGAGGAGAATGTGCCCGGAAGGAAATGGGATGAGATGCGTTTGGTGAGAGGACAATGGAAATGACGACTGGCGGCCACGCGAGATTGACGCGCTAATGTCGATGACTAATCCCGCGCAACACGCGCCTCACGTCACGATAACTCGTCATTCTTTCCAGTTGATTCATTCCGACTACCCATTCAATATTCAATACACATCTGCGTCGCGGACTTGGGCTTGGAGTCGTTTCCTGTTCGGACGCGACGATATGCAAAACATTATCGCCTTTCCGACGTATCCTCATACTATGGCCTGATGGGGCACAGCGCTATATTACCCATTCAATCCAACAAGTTCACTGACGTGAAGCCAGCATCCCAAATCGCATCAATGTCCTCCGTTCGTCCAACGAATACGTATACGTCCTACCCAAATCCAAACAACACCGGTCCTGCGCACCCTTATCCGTTCAACAAACGCTCTCCTTCATTTTTGTACAACTTGAACGCCTCGTGTAGTGACTCCGCAGTCTCACCAGGAAATAGATGCAAAAAGAAAGGGTAGCCCTTCTTGCGCTTTACTTTCCACATGAAGAGCTCTCGCTTGGCTTCATCGTTCCAGCCGGTGAACACGAATTCACCATTGCTGCTAGGTGATGGGGCTTTCACGGTCTTTCGAGGAGCCACAGGTGTACCTCGCACGGCACTATCACGGCTACCAGGAACTGGAATCGGGAAGGCTGCGAAATAATGATTTAGCGGGAAGACTACCAAGGTGTTTTGAGTCATCTTACTGCCTGGCTCACGCTTCTGAAGATCTACTGGAGCTTGCGGCTGTCCAGTGAAGTCAAAGACACCAGGACTATGTAGGCCCCTCGGTGCTTGGCTTTGCCTAGGGTTTTGTGGAGCTGCAGCTGCAGTTGAAGATCCAGAGGTATGCGGATTGGCCCTGGCTGTCCTTGTATCCGGCCGAGTACGACGGGAAACTACGAAGGCCTCGCCGGTCCATACCCTGTCGTCATCCACGTACCGCCAAGCCTGAGCCGGGTCTTCCCATGGGGGTGGATTTGCCGCTGGGGCTACGCATGAAAATTAGATTGAAGACTACAGTATCGTTATAATGGCTTACGTCGAGTGTGTAGGCGACTGGCTGGTCCATGTGGCTGCATGAATGAAGGTGCAAAGTCCCCGTCGTTGTTGGGGAACAGAGATTCGTCCAGGTATTTCAGGGGGCGATATCCAGCACTACCAGAAGGTTCTTCGTGATTGGGGCTGTTAGGGTTCGAGTTATTGGCCATGATACTGTATATGATGATTATTCGTTATAAGTTTGAGGTTGCAGAGGGAAGACGATGGTAAGAAAGAGAACTTATAGACACTGAAGCTATGAAAAGTGAGCCAGAATCGACCGTGAGTACGACACTCTTCTGAGTGTATATACCAGGTGAAGGCAGGAATAGTTGAGTCAAACACCCCTTAGCTATTCAAAGACGATGTGACCTTATTGTTCCTCGGCTCACGCGTGTATATTCCTTCTTTATGTAACAATACGAGTACGTTTGCTTGTTCCGCACGTACAGAGGAGTTGACCACCTACTATCTGAGCAAGCTAACTATTGTGTAGACTATACTAAACGCTGGTAATGAAGTTACATTCACGGTCGGTATCATGGCTAAGGAATCAAGAACTAGGCAGCCTACCGACCAAAGGCGAAGAATTCATGAAACATTGCAACCCGACTAGCTTGTTCGTACAGAATACCACGAATGTGTCATCACAACCAGCCTTCCGCTACGTCTTGCACGAATGGGCCAAACTCTCGTATCACTCACTGATACCGACCGAAATATGGACCTCCTGGAAGTACCGAGGGCGCCTCGTTCCTCTGGCTAGCCATTATAGGACCTTGGTAACCTGGGGAGACAGGAGATATGTGGTTCGTCGACATCACACCTGGCTGTGACGCGTTCCTTAGGGCGTTATCATTATAGCCTGAGCCCCACGGCAGTGGATAATTCTGAGTTTGGTAGCGTGCTGCTACCGGGAAGTTATAGTGTTGGCCAAAAGGCTCGCCGGATGATCGAAAACCTGGGGCAGAGTACTGCGGAGGACCGATATGTACGGTTTGATTTGAATACGGCCCATGGACTTGACTGTAAGTTGCCCGGGCGGGTGTCGCATACTTGACTGAGAGGTTCTGTCAGCGTGGAACCATATTGGACTCTCTGTAACACTGACCTCGTTCCATACTCAGAACGCCGCCGAATGCTCGTCGAAATGTCATGATAATCTCGACCAAAGCCTTGCTGTCAATGTGGTACGACAGCCGCTGAAAGCTCATCTGCAGCGCAAGCATTGTGTTACCTGCGGCCGCCGGCAGTAGGTCGAATGCACCATTGAGAGCCGTCTTCAGCGCGTTCTCGTTGATGTTTAGAGTGGCTGCGAGTACGGCCAGAGCAGACTGCGCTGCTGGGCTGCCTTCGTTCGTGCGGACGGCGACTACTGACTCCATGTGGGCGACTTGAAGGAAGTGGGGAGAATGGACTGACCTTCGAGAGAGCCATAAGTGACATGCGGTGAGCGGAACTAGGCAACTACAGTGAAATGTGATTGTGGAGGTGTTTCACGGTGAATTTCGCCTTGTCTAGTTTACCTACGTAGTTCAACATTTCGACGACTTGACTGAAAATCATGCAATCAACGGTATCGCCTCCGTGACTTACTATCAGATTGCCAGGGCTCGGTGTATTCTAATTGAGCATGTCACTCGGTTCGCCAGTAGTTGATTACTGCACGCCCCTGTCACCGATCCACCGAGATTTATTGAGAGTTGATGGCTCCCTGTCCAGCTCGGATACCACCTGAGAGACACGAACTTGAGTCTGTGCTATACCGTCTCCCGGTAGTGAGCTCTTGCTGTGCTGACGTCTTTTAACCGAGCCTGGGAAGCCCTGGGGATAGACAAGAGACCCACGTCAACCAATGTAAAACTTAAACACCCTGGGGCCTACATTGGGTTGAGCTCAGCTACTTTGCATGTTTCCATCTTAATGTAGTCTGCAGACCTATTCAGGTTTTTTTCTTGCATGAGTGCTGTCATTGTGGAGGTGCTGGCGGTGGCAGGCCGAATAGGGCTAGGGTGTCGCGCCTGGCTCAGCCGCCAAAACCAAACAACGTCATTGTTCGCGAGTTTCGCTTCGTGCCCAGGTGGGAACTGCCACGCCCTTACCCTCCAGCTCAACAGAGCCCATCCCCCGTCCACAACAACCATGGCAACGCGTCGAAAAGCCGACACCGACATCAGCAATGGGGTTCCCCTCACAGCCGGCATGCCCAGCGGTACCGTTCGCTCTGCGTCCGCACGGCGCTCGCCCTTCCTCCCCACCCGCCTCGAGGCGCAGCTCATCGCCATCTACCCACTGACGCTCCTCATGGGTAGCGTGTTCAGCATAATATCGCCCTCAAACCGCAGTGCGCCCTACTCCGCTGTCCTCCAGTCCCACCCCGCCGAATTCGCGCCCTCGTACTTTGCGCAGAAGAAGAACATCTTCAACGTATACTTTGTCAAGCAAGGCTGGTTCTGGACGACACTTGCGTTCGCCGTCTTCGTCACCTTTCACCCTGGATTCGGTCAGGGTGCTAGCGCGAGACGCATCCGAGCGGTGATGCGATATGGCGTCGTGACAACATGGTGGTGCTTCATGACGCAGTGGTGCTTTGGGCCGCCTCTGATTGATCGCGGGTTCAGGTTCACGGGAGGCCAATGCGAAATCATCAGGGACCCGGAGGCGAGGGAAGAAATGAGCACCACGAGAGAGTACATTACCGCGGCGACGTGCAAGGCAGTTGGTGGAACATGGAAGGGCGGACACGATATTTCTGGCCACGTCTTCTTGCTCATACTTGGCTCGTCACTCCTGTGGCTGGAGTTTCTGCCTGCATTGACGCGTGTAGAGGGACTGAGGGATGGAAGGCTCATCACCTTGCCCGATGGCAAAGTTGCGAGCGTTGCAGTGGAGAAAGACCTCGTCAAGTCTGAGGGCGAGGCTACTGCGCGTGGCGTCAAGTTCGCGCTTGGTGTCGCCGCACTGATGTGGTGGATGCTCCTCATGACGGCCGCCTACTTTCACACTTGGTTTGAGAAGTTCACGGGCCTATTGGTTGCCTTTGCAGCGTTATGGACTGTTTACTTCCTTCCAAGAGGCGTCCCACAGGTCAGAGCGTGGTTGGGCATGCCTGGTGTATGAGAGCCCTAGCTAAGAATCAGGCTATGGGTGATGGCTCTCATCTTGCGGAAGACATATCAGAGATAGATCGCAAGAAGGGTTTGTGGGTTGACGAGTCAAGCGTTCGAGCAAAAGCTTATCCAGCGTCAGTATAGTTTAATAGCATGCATCACGACTTTGGCCCTTGTACAGCACTGACAGCTGGGCGCTCTAGCCTCGAGCATACATCCCGAGATTTGCACCCGTGCCATGTTCTCCAGCAGCTGGCACCTCATTCAAGGAAAAATTGGATACCCTGGAGCCTACATTGACCTTGGGCCGTGTATTGCAGCTTTCCTCGTTAATGTAGGCTCTAGGGTGTCTAGAATTTTCATTGAACGAGGTGCTGGCGCTACTTGAACGGCTTTTCTACGGCAGCCATGTCGTTTTCCTGTAGTTTTCCGCTCAACGTTGTGCTAGTGTACCTGATGAGCGATGGCAGCTGCAGCCTTCTATGGGACCGTTGACGACATCAACCGCGGCTAAACGTCGCACCGACCCAGAGTTGCACCGTCCCTTCTCCATCCGGCATTCTATCCGCCGACTTCCGCAGCTGGCCCAATCACTGCAATTTACGCAGAGTTCCATGGCAGAAGAGCTTGTCTGTCGACCCCGGACCCTCCCCACTTCCCCTCACGATGATCAGTCCACTGCATCCCCGATGTAAGCTAGGCATGCGACCAGGGTGGTTGGGAGTGTACTTAAGCAGGTACCTTGACGAAATTTCGTGATGCATTGCTCACCTGTAAGATCTAGCAATGATTGGAATGAAGGGTCTTGCGTTGAGCCTTTTGGCCAGCGCTGTCGTGGCGCAAGATGGTAAGATATGGCTATAGGTTACAATAGAGGCAGTCGCTAATTCGAGGCAGCTATTCAAGCAACTGGCACAAACTTCACACTTACCGCCGATGGCATGTCATACCTGTTCCACGTTGATACCGAGTCTGGCGACCTCATCTCGGATCATTTTGGGGGACCAACCGACGACTTCACACCACCCGCCTACATCCTACCATCCGGATGGGTAGCTGGCGAGATAGGCAACGAGCGTCGCGAGTTTCCCGATATTGGCCGCGGTGACTTCCGTTTACCAGCTATCCATATCGAACACGCCGATGGCGACACGATATCCGCTTTCCGCTACCAATCCCACGACATTGTGCAGGGAAAGCCTTCTCTGCCAGGACTACCTGCGACTTATGGAGAAGCTGGCGATGTCACGACGGTAACCGTGCACATGTACGACAACGTGTCGGATGTTTCCGCTGCATTGATGTACTCAATCTTCCCCAAGTACAACGCTATTGCACGTAGCTTCAGCATTGCGAACAACGGTACTGCTGATATCGTCATCGAGAGAGCGTCGAGCTTTAGCACCGACTTCCCCAATCTCGACCTCGAAATGATTGAGCCCCACGGTGATTGGTCTCATGAGTTCCAGACCGTGAGGAGGAAGATCGATTATGGCGAGACTTCGTGAGTTGATATGCCTAGAAGTTGCTGTATAGATACTGACATTTATCAGATTCCGAAGTACCGCAGGATATGCATCTCATCTTCACAACCCTTTCTTCGCGTTGGTTTCGCCAACCACCACCGAATCTAGCGGAGAGGCTTGGGGCATCAGTTTAGTGTGGACTGGTAGCTTTGAAGCTACAGCACAGCGCTTCTCCAACGGCTATGTGCGCGTTCTCATGGGCCTTAACCCGCTTCATTCCAGCATTCGCGTGGCACCAGGGGAGATGTTCCAGTCTCCCGAAGCTGTCGGTGTATACTCTTCTCAGGGTGTAGGTGGCGTGTCGCGCTCGTTCCATGATCTCTATCGCAATCACCTCTCTCGACACAAGTTCACGGACCAAACCCGCCCCATTCTGCTCAATTCGTGGGAAGGGCTGAGTTTCGATATCAACGAAACGTCTCTGGTCAGCCTGGCCGGCGAGGCGGAAGAGCTTGGAATTGAACTGTTCGTGATGGACGATGGCTGGTTTGGTGTCGAGTACCCGCGCAACAATGATACTATGGGTCTCGGTGACTGGACACCCAACCCAGCCAAGTTCCCTGACGGTCTAGGCCTGTATGTGGAGCAAGTCAATAACTTTACAGTGTTGAATGCGTCGTCCACGCCTTTACAATTTGGTATTTGGGTGGAACCAGAGATGGTAAACCCCAATTCCACCTTGTACCATGAGCATCCCGACTGGGTCCTGCATGCTGGAAAGCACCAAAGGACGTTGACACGAAACCAGTTGGTTCTGAACGTAGGGTTGCCGGAAGTCCAGGACTACATCATCAGCTCGATTTCTCGTGTACTCGATTCCGCCAACGTCCAATACGTCAAATGGGACAACAACCGTGGCATGCATGAGCTTGCCCGCCCATCTGATGACTACACTTATATCCTCGGTCTATACCGCGTTATCGACAATCTCACAACGAGCTATCCTGATGTACTCTGGGAGGGGTGTGCATCAGGTGGAGGCCGATTTGACCCTGGTCTTCTACACTACTGGCCTCAGCACTGGACCAGTGATAACACCGATGCTTCAAACCGTCTCACGATCCAAATGGGCACATCCCTGGTCTACCCGCCCTCCGCAATGGGTTGCCACATATCTGCGGTTCCCAACGGTCTCACCCATCGCAACATCAGCATCGAATACCGCGGTCACGTCGCCATGATGTGCGGCTCCTTCGGTCTTGAACTCAACCCATCCGAACTCTCCCCAGAGGAAGCTTCTGCCGTGCCTTCCATCATGGCCCAGGCCAAGGCGGTGAACCCCGTTGTCATCTCCGGTGATTTCTACCGCCTTGCGCATCCCGACAGCAGCAACTGGCCTGGTGTGCAATTCGTCAGTGCAGAAGGAAATCAGAGCATAGTCTTTGCGTTCCAGCAACAGTACATGATCAAGCCGGCAGCACCCCCGCTTAGACTACAGGGCTTGGATCCTAAGGCGAGGTATAGTAACGATCTGGACAATGCCACCTATAGCGGGGCTACGTACATGAACGTCGGGCTCAACATCGCGTGGCCAATGGGTGACTACCAGAGTAAGCTCATTTGGCTGAACAAGGTCTAAATACAAGTACGTCAGTCTAATAGTACTTTAATCGAATTACTATCCTGATTGCAGCAACGCGGCTCACTGTGAAGAATATGGGTGCTTGTTCAATCTTACAAAATACTGGTCATTGCTCACACTTTTTATCGGCTGGCGTTATCACGTTGGTTGCCATGTCTTGGTTACGAATGTACCGTCAGTGGTAACGAAAACAGAAGCTTTGTCAAACTAATGTAAGGCTACTACGATGAACGATGAAATTAATTATGACTCTAAGCCTCCGTCAGTGGCCGAGGGCATATAGCCTTCCATCCGTTCTGCGCGATAGCTCGAATCTTGTGGTCTTTCACGGCATCCAACAGCTTCGCACATTTACCCCCGGCAAGGACGGCCAGGTATTGGTCTTCTATGTTCCTGCTGACAAGATGGTACCGACACAGGTACGCGACATAGTTGGCTAAAGCATCCACGATAGGATCTTCTACCGTTTCCTTGCGCGTTAGCTCAGCCACCAGGACCAATTCCTGTGCCTCCACGGGACGGTAGATGAGGCCGCATATGTAACCTTTGATGATCTGAGACGTGTATTGCGTCATTCCCAGCACCTGCGCAGCAAGACGCAGCTCTAGACTCTTCTTGACGTCGCTGGGTACGGGGATATCAGTGTACTGTTGGTCAGTACAGATTGTCCGCAGCCACTTCGCGATCGTCCGCATGGAATTGAGAGAGACGTCCTTGTGGCAGAATTTGACCCAGGTATCATCTGGGTTAGCCTCTAAGTGCTGGCGGAAAGCCGATGAAGCAACGAAGAAGGCTAGCTTGGGCATGTTGACGTTCACTTTGTTGCCGTTGGGGTCTAAAACCTCCACTTTGATTGTCATGTTAGGGGCTAGCTCCTTGCGCGCGGAAGCTGACCAGTTACGGAGGTGGTTGCCGCCATTCAGGTTTGCCATGTCTGTTAAGACTTTGTTGACTTGGCCGGCAGGCGAGAGGGTATTGACGTAGGCCCTTGTGTTGGGAACGTTACGGCGACAGATTTTCTTGCTCTTCGTAAGGTGGCTCCCCTCGGTGTGTTTTGAATTAGTAGACATTGCGGTGGCTTGTGTCGAGTGACCTCTTGTCAAATCAGATATTGAAGGCTTAAACTGGCTGAAGTTGCAAGTGGAGTTGATGCGGTAAATAGCAAGCGGGAAGGAATGAGTGATCGTCTAAAAGACTTATACCCCTCCAACAGCGCCCTATTGCTGTCAGTACCTCGTATCCGAAAAGAATGTGAAACTATGAGATGTGAGTGAATGGACTGTACTGCTCTGTTGAGAAAGGCTATAGGGCAACTCAACACGATTTACGATGCGCGTGACCAAGGCTTGGTTTTGGCGGTGAAAGATGACGTGAAGATCAACAGTCGACTGTTCAAGGATGCTTGATAGTTCGCATGGTATAGCAGACAATTAAAGCCGAAACTACAAACTCAAGAAAACACTCGTTGCTTAGTGTCATAGGCTCCCATATACGGTGCTTTGTTCACAGCCGCTAGACAGACTTCGCCCTATGCATAGCCAACCCGGTCTTATAGGCCACGACATTTGTTCAAATCCTTCAACGTACAAAACTCAGTGCTGACCAACAGATATTGATATGTTACATCGGTTAGCGGTCGTGTAGAATAATCATGCTAGGAAACACTTACAGATGTCATCATGAGGACCTTTCCAACGCGCACACTCTCTCAGTCCTGCTGCTTCGAATTGCTGTGCCATTTCTTCTGGTCCATATTTGAAACCCTCGTAGCAGTCGATTTCCTCGCCTCCATGTATGGTGACATCTCTCATAGGGATTTCGATGTCATGCTTAGCTTGCAAGACGAAACGGTGCATTGTTGGTTTTTGGGTGAGCTTGCGCAAGAGATTCCAGTCCTCCGGCCGGTACCAGTCCTCATCAAGGATGTGGTTCGAGTCTTGAAACCCTTGTCGTATGAGCTGTGTGAACAAGCCTTCGGTATCATCGTATGATTCACGAATCTTGTCTGCATCCTTTGTTCCGTCAAGTGTCAAAAGGACCATGTCGTTCTCGCTACGCAAGCCCGTAGACCGTAGCCATTGTAGCCGTGCCACCGCATCCTCAAAATGATCGTTACCGAACATGGAGCCCAGGGAGAGAAATATCCTCGGTCGATCACCGCAGTTGCGGTTGGCCCAGTCCACGCCATTATCGAATGTTCCCCACAGACCGGTGACGCTGATACTGGAAAGAGCAGATAGATTGGTCTGCTCGAAGGCCTGTTCAATGGATTTGTACGAGAGATCGACTGGGAAGTAATCGACTGGTTTCTGCGATCGATCAAGCTCTTCCAGCAGCGGCATGAGCTTACGAATGTCCCTGCGATCTCTGGATTAGCTACTAGTACAGAAGAATTAGTTAATGCTCAGCATATCGAGACACATACCCACAGCCGAGATCGATCAGAACACTACCCTTTTTGATCCACTGTCCCAGCTCCTGAGCATTCTCAACAAACAAGGCTGCTTCGCCTCTTGTCTGGTAGTAACTTGATAGATGCGTGATTCTTGACCAGGTATCGAGACCTTTATCTCCGTAGATAATGGAAGTAGGGAGAACTCTCTGGACGTTGCCTTTCAGGGTCGTGAAAGGTTCTTTGTTCCAGAAAAGCTTTTTTTCCAAAAGAGCTTTGTTAAACGATTGTAACTGCCCTCCACCGATGTCCAAGATCTTGTTTACTGTTATTATAACCTCGCTCATGATTGTGCGTATGACACTATCGAAAGTTGTGTACAATTGCACCACATTTATACTTTACACATGTACTACATGAGCCGTAGAGGCTGGTCACTGTTAAGGACCAATTTCAGCCTGTTCTATGCAGCTTATCTCGCATCGTATGTATGTAGATTACAATGGTATCAGTGGCGGTAGGGATAGTGTTTCTGCCTTGCAGCTTATTCGCGACCAAACCCGCTCGATACCGCGCGTCGTATCGTGGCGTACCGCGTGCTGCACCAGCATTCTTGCAATAGGCTATGACAAAACTAGGCAAATGCACATCGGGTAGCTCTCAAAGAAAACGTAAGATCGATAGCGAGATTTGTCAGTAGGCTGGCTGGCTTAGTACAACACAGAGGCTACGAAACGTGGGGTATCCCGATCGACAAGTTCACACGAAAACATATCTGGTCGACGAAACATTGAAGAGAACTTTACGTTAGAATCTCTAATGAGTGCAGAATTGGAAGGATCTCACTGAAATTGAAAAGACAAGCGTGAATAGTGATGTGTAACTACCAATTGAGATTTTCAAGCCAAGTATAAAGATGTCGCTGACTACGGTACCGGTCTAGAGCAGTTGCCTTCTGCTGCATGATGTCTGGAAACGACGAAAAGCAAACGCTAGAGTTTTGCCTTTTCGAGCCAAATGGTAGACTCAATGCCCGCGGAGCCCAACGGGCGTCTCGTCTCACCGCCTGGACCATCAGACTTGACGGCTATGACAAGATCAGAGAGGCCGATACCTCTCTCTTGCATGCGTTTGATATCCTTGTCCGTCTCAGCTGCACGCACTACCACCGTGGAACGAGCCAACCCCTCGGGCAAACCAATGTCGAGGGTATGCGAGTTTTGCCCTGCCTCAGCCTCGAGGTCGGAGCCAAGAATCTTGGAGTAGACGCTGACGTACTCACGCTGCAGGTGCTTCGGCACGAGGATCTCGCAGGCCGCGATACCAGTAGCACCACAGGGATGGGTTGTCTTCTTTTCGTCCTTGTAAGGGACCCGGTCGGTCCGCGGAGTGATGTCGTGGCAGAAGAATGGAACGTCGATTCTGCCGTCGGCGAAAAGCTCTTGGCCAGGTGTCTTCTCGCCTTTTGAAAACTCTGGTCGTGTCACCTTCCACTTGATCTCAACGCCGTCAGCCTTCTTGCGTGAGCCTCCAATCGGTGCGCCGAATTTGACACCAAGACCGGCATCCTTCTCGGGCGCTTCGGTCAAGCGGTCATTGACTGTCGATACGGATTGCTCGGCGGAGTGGGTTGTATCCGTGATTGCGAAGTCAATCAATCCTGGAGACTTGGGTCCCCAAAATCTCATTGGCAGTTTCTCATTATCAAGAGATGGCGGTGTGTCGTACCAGTTGAAGAACTCCAAGTAACTGCCATCAGTGAAGATGACCAGTTTGTTGCGAGATGGCTGGCCATCATGGTAGCCTCCAGGGGTGACGGTGAAATTATCGGTAACCCAACTGGGGAGGTTTTCGAAGAAAGGAGTGTCGACAAGAAGGACAATATGATCATGCTGTGTAGACGTCATGGTGCAATTGCTCTGAATACAGGATGTAAGTGAGAATACTGTGATGGAACTATAACAGCGGATAGGGACTCGAGAGGCCTATTAAATATGCAATGGATAAAGAGAGTCTGTTCTACACTTTCAACGAGTATATCGGCCTGTTCGTACTTGCCTCATCATTGGCCGGATAGCTTAAGAAACGCAAGGCTGAAGAGAACTTTGGAGTAGACAATCAGACGCCAGGAACTTTCCAATCACTCAAGACACGCGAGGCTGAGAAGAACTTTGGGCAAGCCGGTTAAGCGCCAGGAACTTTCGGCTCGTGGCGTTAGTCACCTGGGCACCATGGCGCTCGCTTAGGGATTGGTGCATGATTGGCCAGAACATCTCCCCGGAAACGGACACGGCATGCGGATGCCCCGCACCGTATGCAGCGTGGACCTTTTCCAGCCCGGCTCGAGTTTGGTTGGCTGTCGCGGCCGTGTCGATTGTCGGTAGAAGATTGCCCAGAGCACATGGATGAATACTGATGGAAACTGACGAAATTAGCCACACCAATAACAGCGACGCCAATCTACACCGGTGAGCTGCTTACGCACCATCCTTCTGTTCCCTCGTCTACCCATGAATGCAGCCACCACTGCCTGTCGACGCCTCCGTCCTGTTCCGCAGGCGACGATACATCAGGATATCGCGATTTGCCAGAACCTACTAGCCTGGTGAAGGACTTTCGTACGCCTGCCTTCTGCCTTCCCCTTCCGGCTTCGAGACACACGCCACGGAGGAAGGTGCAAAGTTCCCCAAATATATGGGAGGTGACACAGAGCGCCACCACATGACCAACGCAGCAGCATTTACAGGGCGACCACAAGGCAAAGCAGAAGAAAGAAGGCGGCGCACCTTGCGTGCCCGTAAGCGCATACAGCTATGCAGTTCAGCCTCACCGCAGGCAAAAGTGATTGCACTGTTGCGCTCGGGAGACTGCGCTATGCCAGTACACCTCCGCACCCATCCTGCCGCTCATAAGCATTCGTATGGTGTGAAGTGCTCTCACGTAGCATGTACCAGTACTAGTCGATTAACTACTCTCAACGCTAGATGGCACCGCGGCCATGTTCAACCCCAGGCACAACGCCAGTGATGCCAGCTCCGGGCTTGTGGAGCTTCTCGACGGTGATGCGACATTGGGATTGACAACCGAAAATCCGGCGCAATTGGGCGCGCCCTCGGCACCGAAGAGAAGTGCCTTACCCTCTGGTTGGGACCAGCACAAAGAGAGAATTCGCCGGATGTACCTAGATGAGAACCATCCTTTGAAGGAAGTCATGGCCACTATGAGCCGAGACTACGGACACAATGGCAGGTATGTCTCAGACGAACGAGTTCTTGCGTCCCGTGCCTCATAATAATCGTACCAGTACGAAACAGTACAAAAACAAACTCAAGGAATGGAGGTTCGACACGAAGTACAAGAGGCACAAGACTTCTCGAAACAGAAGAAATGGGAATGCTAGGCTTCATTCTGACATAGCAAACCGCTCGATAGCTGCTCCAACCACTGAGCATCGCCCTCAAGCCTCCGGCGCCCCAAACGTCGACGACTATGGCCTTCAAGCTCTCGGCTCTGTACGCGCCGACAACCACCAATTCCAGTATGCAGAAGGCCTCCAAGCCCATGAAAACATCTTTCAACTTGATCATGCTGGAAGCGCCAATGCTCCGTATCTTGATGCCGCGGAGAATGAGGATGCATTGGACCAATATTTCCCCTCTGGTGATCTAGGAGTCGCCGAATACGGTACTGCAAACGCTGCAGGTTACCCTTTCCAGAACCCCGATTACAGATCTGCCTTGGACTACAACCTGCAATTTGCTGAGGCTTTCCAGACTCCCGGTACTGGAGATGTCGAGAATCAGCATACGCAGACCTCTACTGTGGGAAATGCTAGTACTTCTAGCATCACGCCCGAGGCATCGGCAAACAACGAAAGTGACTGGCGTCTTTCTCCTCCTCCTAGACGATCTTCCACATCGAGTCTCGCTATCGGAGTACGGCCGGGCCGATCCATCATATCGAATATATCGATAGCGGAACGCGTCTTCTCTTTCGCTCAGCAGCATGTCGAGACATCCTTTGCTTATGGCATATGGAAGGAGAATGGCAGTAACCCATGCACTAGTTTGAAATGTCCCAAAGAAGATCAGGACTTACCCGAGGTTTTCTTCGATCTGATACGTTCTGCTGTCTTGCTATTCACTCAGGGGTCGGCAATGGAGGCGATACACATTGTTTCTAAGGCATTTGCTCTCGTCAACCCCATTCTCAAGAGTGGGAATGTCCGCGCCCTTAACTTTTTCTGGACTTCCCTAGTGTTTCTTGTTCAGTCTGGGCTCATGGACATCGCTATCAGATTGATTCGGTACGTCTACGACATGGCCAAGACACTCATCGATCCTGAGCATCCAGTCGTGCAGATGTTCAAGCTTCTTGCTCATATGGATGCAACAGAGCTCGAGTCTCTGGAGGCACTCGTGCACAATACCTGGCAGATAACTGCCGATGCTTTTCAGAAGCGACTGTCGAAGGTCCACCCAGAATATATCCGCCACCAATGCGATCTCATCTTCCGCATATACGGCCCGAAGGATGCTGCTACCGCTGAGCGCCGGCTTTGTCAGCTTTACAAGGACTGTGAGGAGGCACCGCAGTCGACCGAACTCAGTCGCATAACGATTCTCAATGCGCGCGGATACAACTACATGAACATAGAAGACTGGGATAAAGCTGTTGGGGTCGGCCGAAGACTTGAAGAGCAAGCCCAGCTCGCGCAGGATATGGACTTGCTCGTCTATCAGATTGCTGGTATGGAAATTCAAGCGCGAGGATACAACGAGTTGAAAGCATCCAAGCTAGCGGTAGCATGTCTTGAAAGAGCAAAGCCGCTGATTGCGGATAGATGGGGGGAGGACGATCCTTGGCGCATCGAGCTCATGGTTTTGCAGCAGAAGTGGCTTCGAGAGAATGGCGAAGTCAAGACCGCAGATGATATCAAAGCATATATAAGCAGTATCGCCGAGAGAATCGATGCTGATTAGGCTGTGTGAACTCAATGCTTGTCGCTTCACTCGAGTGACTTTGCGACAAACGTTTTTTGGACATAGCTAGACAATTGGTAACACTATATTTAGAAATTAACGCATTATTTGAGTCAAATTTTAAGCGTGCCTATAGTTCGCACTCGTGTTATGTAGAGTCCTGTAGCTGCTGTTGTGAATCTTGCAGAGCTGCTAGTCGGAAGGAAAGCGGCGGCGATTGCATTGGCCGTATAACAGACTTCGAAGTCAAATGGCCGCTCCGGGTCGTTGAACAAGGTATTTGCGCAAAGTTCCCCTCCCATCCTGAACTTTGGTGGCGTGGTGTCAGCCGGCGTTCCACGAGGAAGGGGCTGAGGCGAACATCTAGAAACCGATTCGTCTTTCGCTAACCATGGAACTTTTCCACCTCCTACGCATATAGCGGCGCAAAGGTCTCAGTCCTTTGCACTCTATCAAGAAACCAGATATACTACTACAATTGCAGGCGAGAAATCGCTGAAAAGTTCTAGCTAACATTTCATTACCTCCCAAAGGTCCCATACATCACAGGATCTTTGCGTCCCTCTCGAGAGCAGATATGAGAGGCAGTGTACTTTCGCCTTCGATCTTTGCTTGCATCAGCTTAATATAAAACCCAGAATGTTCATCCTATTGAGTTTGTCCAGCATCATATTCAAGTATCATCCAGAGTCCACCAGCGCATATAAGCATGTCTGTATCGGCCGAGTTGATCGTGGGCCTGGTTTTCAACCTTATCAGCCTCACTATCAGCCTCATCACCATGTGGCAGGGTCAGAAGCTACTGGCCGCAAAACAATGTTGTGAGTAGTTTCATTTATTGGTCGCGCAAGTTTGGCCCAGCTTGCAAACTGCTTTCCTCTTGACTGACCGTGGCGTGTAGCGCAATGTCAGGCAATGAAAGATATCGAAATGGAGGGAAACCCCCGGGCCAGTGCCTAGCGCCTGGACATGAAGCCGCACTGAGTTAGGGGAAATCAATGGAAAGAATGTATTTATATGTCATGGGGTTTCATTGAGGGAAATTGTTCATAAGCAAAGTTGGGAAGAGATTTGGTAATTTGGACAGATCAGTACGATGGAGAGGCATGTGTATGCGCAGACTGGTACAATACCTCCGGGCATGTTCATGAAGTATTCAAGACAGTTTGTGCATGCAATGTTGCTAAAGTCAAGCGCTGGATAGAGAGCGGGCACGTCAGAAGCTGAATTGAAACACGATCGCACTAGCCGCGCATATTGACATCATCACCATACTGCAACGACGCATCTGCTGCTCTCCAACCGTCCAACAGGGCACCATGAACCATGGCAAAGTGATCCTGAGAGCAATGCTCGCCAGAAAACCTCAGCACACCACCATCTTCATTCGTTACAGGCTTCTGAAGTGTCTTTCTTTGCTTGGCTTCAGATAGCCCGGTGATACTGTGACTGTAGGAGCCCCTCGAAAAAGGATCCTGTGCCCACCGCGTGACGTGAACAGCATCGGGCCTTGGAGTCTCTGCTCCAAACCACTGGCTAAGAACCCTGTGGAACATGTTGCTAACATCTTGGTCGTTCATTGCTTCGACCGTAGTAGCGGTTTTGCAGGAGACAAAAGCGCAAAGAACAGGTTGACCAGTTAATGCCTGAAGGTTCATGATTGGTAGTCGATAGACATCTGGAGATACAGAGCCGTTGCGATCGATAGATATACCACTCAATTCCGAGGTGAATCCCATGAAGACATCGGGCGGATCATTCTCGGCCCGATCTTCTGTTCGAATGAGGCCTTTCCTGATACTAGAGCGATACGGCTCGTCATTCCACCAAGGCCTAGAGTACGTTGCAAATATCTTGTCAAGCGTGCCAAAGCCAAGATGTTCAATCGCCTCTTTCTTGTCGGCTGGTAGTTCCGGCACGAAAAATCCGTGCTTGCTGTTGTCTTTCAATACACCGAGAGGTATGGTGCACACGATCTCACCGGCGGTGAAAACTCCTCGATTCGTCTCAATGACAATGGGCTTTCTGGTCCAGTCGACTCGCGTCACAACGGTCTCTAGCGCTATAACGCCAGCCTCCAAAAGCGGCCTGGCGATCTCTTCAATGATAGGTGAATATCCGTCCTGGAGGAATGCTTGCTCGCCATCGAAGTCGTTGACTGCATATTCCAGCAGTCCTACGCCTGGTTCACTCTCAGGACGTCCGGGCTCCGTCGTTTGTGCAAGAAGCGGAGCAGCCTCCATATTCTCTATGCCTTGGAATAAAGCACCCAGAGTACGATGATATTCCTTGGGTACGAGATCAAATGCTTTCTGGAAGGACTTCGCGTTTACCAGCGCCCGCAGGGCGGACATGTGCTTTGCTGCTTTGGTGGGAATAGTAGTGGAAAGGTCTTGCATCTCGCCAATTGCGATCTGAGCGCGTGAAACGATCAGTTTAGCCAGGCGAGCAGGGATCATCAAGCCTTGGTCCAAGTTCGTCGTTGGAATCCCAGTCGTTGGGCAAGTCGATTGCGCTGTCAGATCCGGGCCGTCCCCAGTGATCTCACCATTCCTGCTAGTGGAATCGTGCTTTCCGTCTGGTGTTTGAAACAAGACAGATCCTTCCATCGACCTGTATCGCTTGTCTGGGAGAATGTCCATAAGCGGATTTGGTCTCTTCACATTGCCGGTTCCGTGGATCCAGTTGGCGCCCGTATCCAAGCGGCAGCCTTGAACCTGAACAGAAGCTATACGACCACCGATCCTGTCGCGAGCTTCCAGTATCCGTACTCGGTCTGCCCTACTCACCGTGTAATTTGTCTGGAGTATTCGGGATGTGAATGCGAGCCCCGCGATCCCTGCGCCAAGAACGATTGTGTCATAATGGACCAGATGCCCGGCTTCGGCTCCAGTGACGGCCATGGCTGAGGAATGTTGATCGAGCGTGTATGCCTTCAAGTGAGAGTCTATGAGCCATGTCTTTTTATTATAAAACTGAGTTGTTTGTCAAGGGGTCGCGATTATTTCTTGCGCGATCGGAGCCAGCCCAACAGTATGGCGTGCTCGGTACGCACCGCATCTGGCTCACGTCCAGCGGGTAGCAGCGGGGAAACAGGCTACGCCTTACCTAGCGTGTAGCCGGTATCTTCCGAGGCCCCCAATATCCCCAGACACGCATGGAACTTTGCTAGCGCAGGAACTTTCAATTTTAGATTGCCCGGGTGATGCACACCTGTGGTCCACGGGCCACGTCATCTAAGCACAGCTCACTACTGATGGCACGTGCCTAGTGGCGGGTAGCAGATTTTCATTGACTCGCCACGGTGCTACGAGGTAGTCACCATGGCCCCAAACGAGTGACCATGATCCTGGACATGCCGGGCGATGCGACGAATTACCATCGGTTTCACAGCCTTGTAACGTTGTGTTTCCATCCCTCACAATTTCGCAAGTCGTGCTTGAACCGCGCATTCCTCTGCTCCCTTTCCGGAAATTGACCCACACGATCCGGTCGCCACCTCCAATAATCCTTCCACCTGTCATCCAGTGCTCCTTCCAGTGCCTGCACAACATATTTGCCAACATTGGTGAGGTTCTTGAACGAATAGCCACTGCCACCCGTGGCAATGAACAGCGAGTCCGGTGCTGACTCATGATAATCTATGATCCAGTGATCGTCGTGCGTTTCCACGTCCCAGCACAACTTACTGCTCTCTACGTCACCGTCGCCAAACTCGGGCAATATGTACTGTGCAAATTCCAGTGTCTTCTTCAAGGCGACTCGCGGCTGTGTGTCGTTGGGGTGGTACGCCTGGTCGCGCGGTAGGCTTCTCGCACCCCACTTGCAATCAGGCTCAGCCCAGCGCTCATAGTTGACCATGGTAATGTCCATGTTGCAGATCTTGAAGATGCGGTCCTCGTTCGGCGGGAAAAAATATCCTCGGCGCGTGATGGCGACTACAGGTAGGCTCTTGTACCGCTGATACTGCTCCTCGGTCATGCGTATATGCGTTACGGGGTATCCCACTGCGTGTAGTTGACCTTTGAAGTCGAGCAATGTTTCTGCATAGGCCCCCACCGAGACGATGACTTTCTTGGCGTGCCAGATGGTGCCGTTCGCTGTGCGCACACCGGTGACAATCTTTGTGTTATCGGGGTCCCGTACGAAGCTGATCACGGTCCCTGAGTCGCCTGCAATGAAATCGACTCCAAGTCTCTCGCATTCACGCTTCAAGACCAGCATTGCATCGGCTGACTTAACCCAGCCGGCGTTGCTGTTGTAAATGCCTCGGAACCTCGCGGCATTGCTTGGCTCATTGGCCTCGGTAGCCTCGTACTTACCTTGCTGCCGTTGGCGTTGGTTGTGGCCATGGCCCATAGCTGGGTACAACTTGAACATGTGCTCCCAGTCTGGTAGATCGACGATCTGAGAAGCATCGCCTAATTCGCGCGTATTGGCGACGGCTGTGTCGAAAGTCTTTGCTCTGTCTTCGTCCAAAGAGCCGTCGGTGCCATATAGCCAGCCGGTAGGATGAAAGACGTCTCTCCAAAGCGGCTCTCGCCAGAACTGGATGGCTTCTTGCGACAACACTGAGAAATGGCCATCGACGTATTCAGTTCGAATAATCTTGTTGCGATCGTAGCCCGCAGATGACAGCGAGGGGACTTGCCATCGGTCAAGCACGCGTACGTTGTTGTAACCCGCACGAGCGAGCCACCATGCCGTGGACAACCCGAACACACCTGCCCCAACCACGATGATCGGAGTTGAATGACTGAGTCTTTCTGCCATGGTGCCTGATTTTACGAACGTTGTTTATAGCACTGATGTCGTTTGTGGGGCACCTGGATAGAGAGAACTTGCTGCAAGACTTGCAATCGATATTTTGTTTGTGTGTGGAGCCAACGTATGCGGTACTTGATACACTGATATAACACCAAGTGAGAAGATTATGAAAGAAGCGAAATATTGAGCAGTGATTAATGAAGTTCCCTTTATACGCTCTTCAGAAGAGGGAATATGGTTTGGTGCTGCCCGATTCGTAGCAGCGTAGATCTCCACAAAGTCCAAGCTATTACAACTTTGGAAGGAGAGGAGCGTTCAGCTCTACTACTGGGTACTAGCAAACCATCCATGATCTATGTATTTGTCACCCGTTGATCTCCCGCCAAATTAAGCGGTCATGCAGAGAAACCCTCAAGACGGGCCCATCTACCCAGCACTAGAGTCGCGTAGCCTTGCAGGTGCAACGGCACGAATATGGAGCTGGAGATAAGGACTACGCCATTCGGACCCCAAGACAAGTAAGCTTACTGTATCGCCCAAAATGATGGCGCTCTCGCTTGCTCCGCGGGTCTACGCGAGGACAACTGCCCAATCCGATGCTGCCCAGTGAAGGACGTTCAACAACCATATGCAAGCGTCGCAAACAAGTCACACCACCTCTACCAATGAATGATTATCTTACTTCGACCCCGTAAGCAGCGCTCTTTAAATCGCAAAAGCTTCTGATGATGGGTAGACAGGGCACAGAGAGGACCGGTCAGCGGCATACTTCCAGGTCCCATCGTTATTCGCTTCGGACTCAATGCCCCAATAGTGCAACTGCCTGCATTATCTCTCGAATGCGGCTTGCTAGCTGGGGCTTATACTAGATTACGATGAAACCTTCCAAGCCCGAAACCTCTTGCGCATACATCTGATCTCGTTGCACTTGCAATGCTTCAGTTGGGTGGGCCAAATCGCTATTGCCAACCATGAATATTGGAGTATGGTACTCTCTGCTTCAAGCCGGCATTTGTCTGCAGCTGAGTTTCAGCGTTCTTCTGAAGCACTACCATGATTCTTACTGGCTTTTTCGTTTGAGGCTCTAGCGCATTCTCGAAGAACTGGACGAGAACGGAGCGAACAATGTCCGAATTTGTCTTTGCGTGGTCCTCGATCGAGCAGTCGATTTAGTCATCGAATGTGGACATTCAAAATTACTGTCGAAATTGTTTGTGATCGCCGAGATGAAGTGGGCACGCGTGCTCAGTGAGGGCGGGGCAGTGAGACCATCTTCAACGTTAGCATTGTCGAAAATTTCGAAACAGATGAAACTTGATTAGGGATAAACATCGGCAAATTGGACCGACAAAATCTGTATTGAAGCACCCGACTAGCTGCGATGGGACGCCGTTCCACGAGACACTCGCAACTATGCGGATTAGTTTGGTCGATTCACTGTGTAACACATAGCTCGCGGTGCTAAGACATAACATCTTTCTATGAATTTGTAAATTGATTCCAAACGCGACAACTTAAACACAGTGTCTATTCAGGACCAAAGTCTAGTGACACCCGCATGCGCATATAGCCAGGTTTCCTGCGCACCGTACCCCCTACTTCCCTCGTCTGCAGCCACCATCCACAGCCGCATCAAGTGTATTTCTTGGCAGTGACATAGGTTGCAACTTCGCCGACGTTGTCCCATACTTTCTCACGCCGATCTTCCATCAGCCAGCGCTGCATCATTGGCGCCACCTGCTGCGCCTCGTCTGTGGCTCGGTGCCCGCCGTTGGACGCCATGCTTCCCTCTCGAGGAACCGACGTGTATTGAATTGTCTGCGTTCCATGATCGCCTGCCGCGTTGGTGCGCTCGGCATGATACTGTTAAAAGTTGTTAAGACTCTCCTCCAATTCCTTGAGTTAATTTGACGTACGTGATAAGGAACCTCTTGCGGTTCTCCGTTACCCTGCTGGTTCTTGGACTGGGAAGTAGACATCTTGTCGATATGATGATATGCCTATGATAATGGTTGAAGATAGGAGCTGATATGGAGCCCTCATACACAGAAGAATGGTCGATATTTATATGGCGGCTTGGATCTTCGGGACGAACTTTTGTGATCTTTGTAGCGATGAACTTTCATGGCCATCTTAGTGACAAACTTTTGTGACCTTTGCAAGACGAACTTTTGCGTCCTCTATAGCGTGCACCTTTGGCAACCTTCATAAGCCACAAATTCAAAGTTCCCACCAAGCCACGCAGACTTGCTCTCGAAAACTGCGGTACTTGCAATGACCCTGGGATCCCTCCGCACTCTCTACGAACTCGAAACCAGTGGAAATTGCGTCCGTGTCGTACTTTCGATGTGCGAAAGTCGTGCCTCACTTGTGACGCGGTGGCATTGGCGCCCCAGACATTATTCCAGTCGAACGAACTTAGGTCAGAGCTTTTAGGAACTTTGGAGGGACTTTTGCGCAGCCTTATTTTTAAATTTCTTTGGGGAGCTTAGCGCGGAACGTCTACTCCGGGACAGACCAGCTCAACAAGCTTGCCCCATTGCACAAGAGGAAATTCTCGTGAGCAGACATCTGCCTGGCGGTAATGGCCATGGTCTTGTGTGGAGGCTGGAACCAGATGAAGGTGCCTACGCTCGGCCCTCGACAGTAGCGTGGCCAAGTTATGTTTGCGACAAGACGTAGACAATAGAGACATTCTTCCTGAATTTCCCGTTTGTGTGGTTCCGACAGAAGCACTGATGAGTGGATCGCGAATTGTGAGGCCGCGGTATGTGCCTTCTTCTCATTGCCTACCCACCTGGGCATCACCACTGCCAGAGCGCTGGACTAACTACCTCCCATATGGTTCCTTCTTGTCATGTCGGGGGTTGACTTTGGAATTCAGTCGATGTGGTTGAAGTATAGAGCGTGCTCTTCGGGGTCGGCGGACAGTTTGTGGGGAAATAGACGCAGTAGTGGTGGTAGTAGTAATAATAGTGATAGTGGGGTTAGCAGAGTGTTGCACGTCATGCGTGACACAAGGGACACTGTAATTGGATTAAGTTTTACGATGAAGGGAACGTATCTCAAACATCAATGGAGTGGCTTCTAATAACGATGCAGACAGCGGATCAAAGACGATCTGTCTAGTGAAGAGCCCCAATGTCGAGGAGGATACCCAGGTGCACAGGGCCCGGGGGTTCGCGTTCGCATCTTAGGCACACGGGCCCACTGACGCCGGGCAAACTTGGCGCAACCACCCGGGCACTTGTGCATTGCGCATCAGAATGACTCTATCATCTCCTGTCTATCTTGCATGACCAGCATACTTCTGTGCGCCTATGATTTGCGTGAATGTACGATAGCAGGGGTCTACGCTCCAGCCGATAGCAGTTCAGAACCGTCGCCCGAACCTGATGTTCCTATCGAATACGTGCGAAAGCCTCGAAGGCGCCCACTCCACAAGCCAACCTCGCTACCCTCGTTACCTCTTCGCCCTCACCCACCTGCAAATCCTTCACACGACCAAACAGATCGCGCGCTGTATTTTATAAGATTAATCTCCTCAATGCCAAACGACGGCTAGTACGTAGCGCTCTGACGCTTGCAATGCCGCAGACCTCGCGGTCACCAACAAGGAGCTCGAGCAGGCGTAGTAGAACAATGAGGGAAGCCACGGTATTAGAGCAATTTTGGGTCGCACATCACGTAGTCAGGTTCGCTTCGGCTCCGTTTGCGGAGATGTAGGCATCGACACACATGCATACGCAACGGAGGCTTCATACCACGCTCCCGTACTGTATTCGGAACACACATAATGGCGCTCAAGAAGTATTCCGAAGTGACTATAACTGACTTCCTCTTTAGTATGACGGTATAATGAGCTCTCCAAACCAAGATATTGAGCGGCAGGTCGTCTTCAAGCCCCCTCCTGGGTTTGCCCGCAGGATGCCGATGCACGCACGGCAAATCCTTTATAGCACGCTCACTCTTTTCAACGCAACTTACGACAGTACGCGCACGCAATGATCTTTCGGTCGCCCAACAGCCCTCACACGAGGAGCCCGCTACGAGTCCTAATCACGCTATCGACATCTGTGAATGTTTCGAGTTCAGACGTCAATACGACTACACCTACCGAACGCAATCGACCGCACAATCTCCGAGCCCCAACGAACCCCGCATTGGAGACAAATCGCTCTTTCGGCGCGGCGGATTACAGCATGTTCGGCATCGAAAGACTTCCGAGTGAGCTTCTGCTCCAAACACTTGGCTATGTTCAGGACGGTGGCCGTCGTCTTGCAAAGTCTGCTTGATATTGCGCAAACTTGATGAAGTTGATAAGGAGACTCTCTACAAGACGTTTTGAGTCGGAGCCTCGCCCGACAGACTGATGCGGACTGTTCTTACTCTTATCAGGACAATTCAGGTGGATATCTGCCTTACCTATGATAACGTTCCCGTAATAAGATCTATCGTCATGTATGCACTAGAATGCGACATGGAACCTTTGATGCTTTGGTACTGTTGGCTAAATGGGCTGATTACCGTATGTCCCGGTTCAGAGACCGGGTCACATCTTGTACCACAGTATGAAAGTATGCTATCTTTACGCAGTCAGAATGTGTGTCTTGATTGTCAATCTTACAGCGTGATTAGGTGTCCGATTGATGACTATGCGCACAAGGAAGTCTAGGCTCTGATGGTGAATGATGATGTAGAGACCAACGATCTGATCCTCGATGGCCCTGGGCAGTCTCATTTGCGTAGCAGACTCGTTACCATGGAGACGAAACTCTGCATTCCAGCTTTCACTGTTGTGTACTGCATTGCTCGACATGGAGATGATGCCTGTGTGGACGGAATTGGTGTTAATGAAAGATACCTAGGTACCACGGCTACGATGCGCGACGGCCATCGCATCCAGAGGTACTCAGCTTCTCTCGCAAATGCAATTAACACAGCGGCACGGTCTTCTGTTCTGGCCACACGCGTGGACCATTCTTAACTAGAGCTTATGAGCTGTCTCATGAATGAGCCGGATGAAACTCGTCGGTCTTTGTGCCCAGCAAAAGACTTGCGCGTGAAGATCGGAAGTTTTCAAACGGAACCGATCGAAAGCCATATATCGATGCGTGGCTGATGGTACGGGTAACGAAAGTTCTCAAAGAAGTGCGCTTGATGACAATTAAGGATGGGGGAGATGAGACGCCCAGTGGTGTTTAAGCGGGGCTCGGCATGTGACCTCGCCCGGTCGGAAACGCGTGCGCACGTGCTCTCGATGACGTGCCTAGCTCGACTTTCCAGCCCTCACGAAAACGTGGCGGCCACTTTCCGCCCATCTACCGAGCGGCGCTCTTTCACCACCAATCCTCCCATTCACGTCGTGCGAGCGTATCTTTGACTCAGAATCCTGCAACACGCGGTAAACCTGGGCTCATAGTTATTCACATCGCATTCTCGACCCGCCCGACCTGATCAGAGCGCTGCTCGCTGGGCTTGTCACCTAGCGCGAAGTGAACAACATCATAGAAACCGTTTGCCGGAGAACGCATTCGAGGTCTGTGTCTGCAAGCTCATTCAACTTTAACAACAACACCATCCGATTGCGCGCGATGTCAAGCAACGTTCACCTGACGCGAGCGGTATAACGTTGCCGTTGCTCTACGGCTACAAGGATATACGCAGTTTTAGGCCTCTGTCTCATTTCCTTTAGCAGGGTGACATCTCCCCCGCGGGGCCAGCCCCGACAATTCTTGCAGCCCGCCACGTTCCCTACCGCGTTTCGGAAACAAGGCTGCGTTTTAGTCCCTTCATTTGGGTCACGGGGACACGTTTCTGGATGTCTGTGCCCTGCCGAGTTGACGTAGATCGCGTTTGCGGCCAGTGAGGATTATTGCCTAACCAGGAACCAGGATGCAGGGTAGTGAATTGGAAGGTGCAGAGTTTCTTGGCGGCTGGTTGACTGTAAAATGAGGCAGACTACTTGTGGCGTCAGCTCCAGGAAGAGTGATCTTACGTCCCTTGAAGAGGAGACTGCGCGCCGTTCCCTGCTTGCGACTGGCGTTCGGCGACCTCGTAACTGAAGCCAACCACATCACAGAACAATATCGCACCCAACACCGACAATGGCTTCCCAACAAATGTCCGACCGGGTGGAGGGTATGACCACGAACCATACGCTGTCTCACAAGACCTCTCTTGTCGTCATTGTCTTCCTCGCCCTCGCCGTCTCCCATACCCTCGAGGTCTTCGTCAAGATCTTCCGCCTCTTTCGCACGTATCACGGCGTGTACTTTTACACACTCATCGCAGCCTCGGTCGGTATCGCCATACATGCCTTTGGGTATTTCATCCGCAACTACGGGATATCCGACTCGGCCCCGCTGGAGATCGCCTTGGCGTGTGGCGGGGGTATGCTCATGATCACTGGCCAATCCATCGTACTCTGGTCACGACTACACCTCATCAGTTCTGGAAAGAGAGATTGGTGGTTGCTCTGCATGATCATAGCAGCCTGCATAATCGTGCAAGGAGGGGCGACTGCGCTTTTTGCTGGCTCGAATTCACCGAATCCCAAGAGGTGGCTACAAATTTACGAGAAGTGGGAGATCTTCCAGGTCACCTGGTTCGTCTTCCAAGAGTGCCTCATAAGCGGTCTCTATATCTATCGCACCTTCGCTCTCATGCGCAGCTCGGCCGCCTTCCGAGGCCCACACGCCAAGCGGGTCTTCAACCATCTTATCATCGTCAACACGGTGGTCATCTTGCTCGACGTCACGATCCTGGTCCTACAGTACATAGGCCTGTACGAAATCCAAACTAGCTGGAAGACACTCGCATACGCCATCAAGCTCAAGCTCGAATTCGAGGTCCTCAATCAACTTATCGCATTCGCAACGAGGGGCTTCGATGCGCATGCTGAATCGCACGATATATCCGGAAGCGCGGCCTTGAAGGACGACACAGGAGATCTTACACGGAATTCTCGATTCGGTCACTCGGCGCATCTCCGAATGGACAACGATGGTACAACAGCGCTACCGATGGGGAATGTAATGAAGAAGACGGATATCCAGATCAGCGTCGAGCCGGACACTCTGAGTGAGAGAAGTGCAAAGGTGCTATACGGGAGGGATAGCGGGGCGATGTGTTGAACACATGCGGACGGGACGAGGGCAAAAGGCCATTACTTGACGACCATCGACGCCGATACACTACACAACCCTCGGGTGCCGAGCCGCGAGGCTTGGTCCGAGCTTCCCCGTACTGGGGAGGATACACTGCTTTCATTTTGTTTTACGACCTTTTTGATACTGGTAGAGGGCCACACTAGACTTGGACGATTTCTTCACGATACCCACTTGCTCTTATATACTCATTTTAATGAACTATACGATTGTCAACACGAGTTAGTCAGGCTGATGCAGCAAGTATTGAAGTAGTGACTGTGAGTTTATCTACGTTACTTTTGGGGATGACTGACCGTGGAGAAGGCGGGCAGGTAGTCGCAATACGACGTTATGGGGTTACAATACGTCTAGACTACTATAAACACCGGTGATTGCCGAATGAATGAGCACTACACTTGCAAATTTGCTGGCCGCACGCCTGAGTAAAACATGCTTGACACCTACAGTGCGGAGCGCGGGAGCGACGATCGAGCTTGTAAAGGTATCGTGAGATTTCAGACATTCTAAAAAGAGAATTCAGGTCTGCTCCGTGTTCACCCGGATAAGAAACAAGTGTGCGCGATGCGACACCAATATCACAAACCAGAGTGTCGAAGGCTATCTCTTCAACCCTGATCCTGACCGAATAATCCATCCACCCATCCATCTTCGGCCCAGTCCGCCTCCCACACTGAGCCTTCCTTCCGAGCTAGAGCCGCGAATACTCCTGGTATCTCTTCAACTACACGCACATCGATACCAAGGTCGTTCAGCTGCGCGAAAACGTATGTCGAGACGTCGCCTTCGAACTCCTTAGGTCCAGCACCGTAGCCACACCTGCACAAAAGCACGATCTTATTCAGGGCTGGCACCTCCGTCTTGCGCTCGACTATCATGTTGAGCCATGTAAGAATAGCCTTGGTAGGACATATTACGGTGAGTGACTCGAGGCTTGGAGGAGGTAAAATGCCGCGAAAGCAGTACAGCTCACCGAACGTATTGCGGGCCTCGAATACAAGTACACCTTGCAGAACCTCCATCTTCGTCAACTTGAGGAACGAGCGAAAGCTGTGCACGGTCGTACAACCACCGAAGCAACGCCTGGGATCGAAGTGATCAGACTCCTCGTAGTCGATTCTGATGGATTGCAAGCTTGCAGATACGTCTGTGTCCTCACCCAGAGCACGCGCAATGTGCTCGAAAGTACCCAGCCACTGCTTTACAACAGTCGGGATCCTCATGAACAGTATCTCTAGACGGGTGATGGTCGATCCAGCGAAGTCTAGTAGCAGAAGTGGAAGCTGATAGCCATGACTCAGATGGGCTTGGTCGTTTAGCTCATTCCAATCGCTTCGTATGATGAGTGTGTGGAGGTTCGCACAGCGGGGCGAGAGACACCGAGCCGATTCGTTGCCGAAGAAGACGTGCTCTGCAGTTGACAGGCCCTCATTGAAGGACTCCCAGCAGAGGTCGATCTCGAGGACTTGGAGGGAGATGAATGGGAATCTTAGTATGTCGATGCTCAAACCGGAGACTCTCAGGCGCTTAACGTTATAGAATTGCTTGAAGCCCGACCAGCGGCTTGGCGGTTGCTGCATCAGCTCGCTGTGGAGACAATAAAGCCAGCCCAGGACATCAACAGCAGGTGTACTCAGATCTTGCCTGTGATACATATCCATATAGAGCATGTCAAGGCTGTCGCAAAGTATGAGAAGCATTCCAGCTAGTGCGCTCAGCTGGCCGCACAATAAACCGCACCGCCAGGCCAGCTCTTCCTCACTCTCAAACGGATTCTCGTCCCTAAGGAAGCTCAGCCTATCGAGGCTCTGGGATATTTGTAGCAAAGAAGCTGCATGCGCGTTCGAGGAGGTATTTGGACGTTCTATGGTGGTGGCGCGTTCGTGTACTGGAGTCTCTCCATCATATTCGACAAGCCAGTTGGTCGCGGAAAATGTCAAGTGACGGATCTTGCTTCTCAGTTCCGGTCTTCGAACGATGGTGCGCACGAGGTACATGACGCTGTCACCCCGAGTACGAGGCAAGCTGATCGTCCGATATAAGAGCTCATCACCAATGGCTTTGAAGCGACGTGATGTCTGATTCAGGCTCCCAAGCGCTGGGTTGTCACCCTCAAGGTGTCTGGCTACTTCAAGCAGCAGCTCGTCGGGTAGATCGTTTATGGAGCGGAATCCAGGTCGAAGGGTATCCCGGGACAGCTCGGTAGCTGCGTTTCGCAGCTTCTCCTCGATCACTGTCGGCGGAAGATCCATCGCGACAAAACTCTCGGGCCGGTTCGGTTGGCGATGTCAAATTGCTCAAGCAGTTAGCCAAGGCCTACGATGAACTGATGTGCATGGGGTGACTTACTTCTCTTCGAAGTTACGCCAGGATGGCGGGTAACAAAGGCTTGTGACGACAGTTGGAAGGTTCGCGGTAAACTTTCCAGCTTTATCAAGTTGGTGTATTCATTGACCACCTAGGCAACCAATGAGCGTGCTGCAAACGCCGGTGTCAGGCACGTGATACGGCGGCGACACACCGCCCGCGTCCGCTTGTAGCACGTCAACCTAGGGAAAAAGTGAACACCCTAGGGTCTACATCGATGTTAACACACCCACTTTGCATGTACACATGTTAGTGTAGTCTGCAGACCTGTTCAGCTTTTTCCCTCGTATGAGGTGGTAGCGCAACGTATTCTATGCTCGTCTTTTGATGTCGCGTCCAATCTGAAATGACTTGGCCGTTTTCTTCCCATTGTACCTACGTACCTAGAACCGGGGTATATAGGGCTCGTCTGAGACTTCAATCTCAGTAGACGGGTACAAGTATGGACCTAGATCTTCTGGAATCCAGACGCATTTCCCGTTTACCCTCTCGCAATGTCCTCTCCAGTTCCATCGAACAAGGTGGTACTTAATGACGCGCCATTTCACTGCAGCCCAGAGATCTTTGTCGTATTCGTCACCCCAGGCTCGCTTGTTGTCGAGCTTGTCATGGATGCGCAGAACCTCGTCGAGATCAACGTCTTTGATGTGTTGGCCTCTGCAGTAGTTCTGATACCATGGCATGCGATAATTCGGAGCATTGGGATGATCTCGAAGGAGCTTTCTCAGTTTCATGCGCTCATTATACACCAGCGCGTCGGCTACATCGTCTTTGCCGCGGTTGTCAAAAATCCTTGTACCGTCTTCCTTGTAGGGATTTCTGGGATCGAAGTCTTTGGGATTTTGCTTGGTTCCTATCCCTTGGTCCTTGGTCCATTGGGCGTATGGTACAGGTAGGTAGTCGTCATCGATCTCGTCGAAGCTTTTTCCAACGTGCTTTCCATAGGTGAAGACCCACTTTGAGCCCGGCATTTCTGGCTCTCTATCGAGGAAGTGAAATTTGAGAGCTATCCGGGTGTAAGTGTGTTTGTGCCCACCGGTGGCGTAGATCCAGGAATTGATCCATGAAATTGGTGCTTCACCAAGTTTGCAACCGTTGTAGTAGCCGCCAAATTCACTATCGATTTTGTAGATAATATTCGCCCAATGAATGAGAGCCTCACGTAGACCAGGTTTTGAGTTCACCACGGCATCGTCGTCTGCTATCCTTGCTACCTCTTCGTCGGAGAGGTCCTCAAGGGTGCGGCCTTTGTGTTCTCCGAAATCGAGCTGATAGACCTCAACTTTCACGCGCTTGTTATCCGGCGACAGGGAATCTTGTCTTGAAAGGAGGTCCGGAGTCTCCTCGCGCTCCCTCTTGAACGACATGGTGGATGGCTGGACTGCAGTCGCTTCTTGACGAGAATCGAGCGTTCCACGTTGCCAATTGCAGTACGTCAGTAGGAGATACTATGTGTTGCAACCCTTCCAGCACATGTAGTATGAAGAAGAGAGTTTTAAGATATGGTAGCTCAATAGAGCAATGAGTGGAACGTTGGATGAAGTGGATAAAGAGGTTACGGGTCACAGTAGACGAGATGGACAGAAGCGGGGTGCGCGCAGACCGTCGAAGCTATCCCTGCCAACAGCCTTCATCGCTGGGCATTGTCCAGCATGTTCCATCGCTTTATCTTCAGCCTATCACGGACGTGCTGCTCCGCATCCTTAACGTTCCTTCTGCGGCGTCAGAGGGTTTGCGATGATCGCTGCCGTTTTGCCGGCGTTTCGTCCCCTTGTGACGTCAGACCCGTCCGCGCCGGCGCCGTTCCAACCACGCACGTTTCGTGCCTTGCATCGACGGGTACCACTAGGCCCGGCTCGATCCATCGCGCGGTGAGTGAGCCCAGCTGTCGCAGCATTGCAGTCACGAATATTCAACTACAGAGCTGCAACAGAGGAACTGAGGTTACAACCGGCAGCTTCCTGCCGCTCGCTACTGCAGGGGTCAATGTATCGTATGATTCGATGAACTACCGAGGCACATCGCCCCGGGCCTTCTCGACGCATCGCACCTCCTCCATTTCGCGGCTCCGCCACGCGCACACCACAAGCAGCAACGACGCCATGCGGTACTCATCTTTCACATCTCTGCCTGTATGAGATGCGCATCCACTGAATTTTACACGCGACGTATGCGACAAACCCTTTGGTACAGGCGTTTAGGACACAGCGGCATTAGCTTCGTCAATATTGTGGATAATTTTCGCATCAATTTCATCTTGTTACACGCCATCCATCGCACGATAACATTACGAGACCAGCAAACTTCCCATTCGATCGTCTCTGAGCTGCGTCCCATACCACCCACCTCACAACAGATCTACCGCTAGCATCTCATGAACAGCTCCATCAAATCTCATCGAGACCTCGCCTCAGTGAAATACTGTATGCGGGAATGTCTGTTGCCCCGTTCGCGATCGCGACCTCGCGGATCATGGTGTATAGCATCTTGGTCTTGGGCCAGCGCGCCCGAGGCGGCATTGTGGCTCCCCTGCTCATGAGCAATTCCAGTAACTCCTTGCTGTTTCGGTTGAGAGCAACTTCCATCGGCGAAACCGTCTCTGTGGACCGCTGGTACCTAGGAAAGGCGCCATTGACGTCTGCACCTGCATCCAGGACCGCGGCGACGACCGGGATGTCGCTGGCCTTGATGGCGCAGCAGAGGAAGTTGGTGAAAAGGGTTCCGTCGTTGATGTCCAATTCTTCGTCGTCCAGAAGCAAGTTGACCATGTCAACATTACCAGTATGACATGCAATTGTGAAGAGGCGATTATTGACCAGGCTGCCTGATGGATTCAGGCGTAGGATAGACTCTACTATGTCTGTGTTTCCGTGCTCGATGCCCATCTCGAGCCACCCGTTGTACGTGCGCTTCTCAACCCTGCGAAAGATTGTCTGGCGGAACTTGACAAGCTCATCCACGAAGCGTGTGTTGCCAGCCCGGATAGCGGAGCAAATCGCTTCTGCAAAGTTGTAGTCGTAAGAACCTAGAGTATCACGTTTGACCGACTTCTTGAGGTTATTCAGGTGGTGTAAGACTGCATTGAAAAGCTCGTCGTGTTTCGAAGTCACAGCCATCACCAGAGGGCCTTCGCCGAAGGTCGTGTAAGGAGACCAAATCGCGGGAGGCATTTGCGCTAGCAGAGGGCGAATCAAGTCAATCGCCTGAGTCGACATAGCCGCTACGATCTTCTCCCAGTGGTGAATGTCCGCGCCGTTTTCTGGATTGTTCCTCAACTGAATGGCTGGGTGGCGGTAGGAACGCCTCCAATTCATCATCATATACATTACTTCGTCAGGACCAGTGACTCGGACAAGACCTTCAACCATGCGGGTCTCAGTCTCCTTCCGCTGTCCTTTCGGGATTGAGAGTTCCGAAACCAAATAGTCAATCATTCGGTGGATCGTATTGAGTAGCCGGTTGTCGACATCGGCGGGCTTGTTCAGATGGGCAAGTATATACGTTGTGATGTTGGCAGTGATGACTCCCGGGATCAATCCAACGATATGCTTGGGCTGATTGCTGAGCAGGTCATGCTTGATTTCGCCAGCGAAAGTGTGACAAACGCTTCGAAGTTTCCAAGTGGCCCTGGGGCTATCAGAGTTGAGCGAGTGGATGATGTTTTGGAATATTTCCGTGGGTAGATCCAGAAGTTGCGCCATGTTGAGTTATTCTTGCGCTCGGTTGATGTCGTATACGGCGACTGGGTCGTTGGAAGATGGAGAGTTATATGTGGAGGAGCTAGTGGCTGGGGGTTACACTTTGTCAAATACGCTAAACAGCGCGCTAGTGCCATATTAAGGTGTTCGTGTGAAAGGCCTTCGCCCCGCCTAGGGTAGGCCCAAGCGCTGAAGAGTTTGGTCACATTCACTGCCACCATCACGAGAAGTGGCTCGAATTCGTGCCCCATAGGTAGGGTTTGCTGCATACATAATATCAGATCTTAACAATTAAACAGCTTCCAAGAAAGCGTATCCTTCTACTAGGCATGCCAGGTATCAGGATATGGGAACGATGGTCTGTACCGTGGTGGAAATGAAACGAAATAGCTCTTGGGGTAATTCTGTGCTAGGCCTTCAGCGATGATGGTAGGTGTATAGCTCTCGTTACATCAAGCCTTGCCAACTAGATACGCTTGCACCATATGTACTCGCATAGCCTGCCCATCTGCAACTTAAAGGACCAAAGTATACTCCTAGCACCTTGGCCCAACGCATACCATCACCATACTTGCCGTCCACCAGTAACAAGATTTCCTGCTTTCCATGCTGCAGTTATCAGTAGCCGTGTATTTCCCCACAGATGCAACAGAGATTTGAAGGCAGCAAGGTCTCTTTAATGCTTTTGCTTCGTCGATTGCTTCTGGGAGACTGCCGCATTCTGAAGGACGGCTTGCATCTTCTTTGAGAGGTGCCAAGTATAGGTAGCAGGAACGCTGGCTCCGCATTTGATCAAGTAGCACACGGCGTCGAAGTGGTTCAGATAGATAGCATACTCCAGTGGTGTAATGGCATCGCAATGCTTCAGACGATGGGTTGTTATAACCAAATTAATGTCTGCACCAGCTTCGACGACTGCGCGAATTACCGCAACACCACCAGCTCTTATGGAAGCCGCCAGGGCTGACATCTGGGCGCTACTAGAGTCTAGCTGAATGCTTCCGTAGTTGATGAGAGTGGTAACGATAGCTGAGTCTCCGGTCTTAACGCCCCGTTCGAAGATAGTAGTGTTGATCTGGAAGGGCTTGGTGTCGGGTGCGGCTTGGAGAAGAGTTCTGAGGACGCTGTTGCTTCGTGAGAGAATAGCACGATCAATCCACTGACGATAATAGGTTTTGTCGGGAAGGGTCAGGTAGCGACGAATGTAGCCAAGTAGTAGCTTTACCATGTCGACGTTATCATCCGCGATAGCTGGTTACATGGAGCCAAGCATACTGTATGGAGAACCAAACCCAATGACCTGATTCTTCTTGAACCTCTTCAACTTATGTTGATCCAGAACTGTCATCATAACAGCGATCATCTTGTGGTCTTGTTGTCGAACAGCAGCTAGTATTGGCTCTTCAAAAATACCCAGCGAGAGTGAGGTAGGAGCATGAGGTAGTAGTTTTGCGACGGCGTCATGAGCACCCACACTTATCGCCGCAATGAGCTGGTCATGATAGGTAATATCCTTGCTCAGTGCTTGGCGCCGTTCCCTGTATCTTTGCTCGCTCCCTGGCGAGGTTGAGCTATTCCGCCAGAGGAAGGTTGCAAGGAGCGGACATGTCTGCGCAACGCCGGCACAAACCTCCAGAAGGATGTTACGGTCGTCGAGACTGTCTATTGCGGTGAGCTCCTTGGTGACATACTCCACCATATTCTGTATCTTGGCGGGAAGCTCCGGTAAGACATCGCGTGGACTCTTGACGTGATATGCGAGGTAGTACATCATGTTCTCTTTGCGATTGAGTAGGCACCAGGCTCTGTAGCTGCGAAACGCCTCTCCCGGTTGTACGGCTAGAATGTTTGCGCTGATCTCCTGATCAAAGGTTCCTATGAAATTATCAGCCCTGAGCATTTGCGCGACCACGGGAATGAGAGTCTTACGGCATACGCTTCGCAGTTTCCAAGCACATAGGACACCGACATCACTGACGAGGCAGTTGATGACGTGCCTGAAGATCTCAGGCGGGAAGTCGAGCAAGTCCATCGCAGTGACTGAAGTCGTTACTCCAAGCTCGTCACTTCTCGAATCTGTCTCATGTTAGTACATATCGCAATCAAGCTGACGGGGGTTATTTACGTAGGGGTTTCAGTCGTTGCAGTCGCGACACAGTGCGGTGGAGAAAGGAAGGAAGCAGAGTGGGTTGCCTCAATAGGGAAAGGGCCTGTGTGCCAAGCTTTCTTGGTCCAGACAGAGGTAAAGGCAGTCGCAATCTTCGGTCACCTCGACTTATGTATCGCCCTGGCAACTGCAATCAGAGGTGAGCGCGGCTTTCATGACGAAATAGGCAGTCATAGATATCAGGCAGCCATGAGTTTGAGGAAGAGAAAATTACTTTTAGATAATTACAGTGTGGTTTCGTAAAACTTGAAGGGAAGGAAACAACCTTCTGAACGCATGCAAAATACCGAACTCGCCTGCCAATTTGTGTGTCAAAGGCAAAGACCCATCTGTAAGCTCCAGTGAGCGATAAATAGCCGCGGTAGAGACATACATCTACGAGGCCCTACAAGTCAGGGTGATGCGACAATGTCACCCTCGGCTCCAAGTTTCTCAATATCTGCCCTCTTCATTCTCTTGAAATGCTTGTACTCCAGCACGTGCCCACCGTCGTTCTTGATCTTGGCATGTCGCAGAATCGCATATGTAGCCTCATGCTTTGACCAACATGCAATGTTTGGTAGGTGTGCACCTGCATCAATCAGAGCTTGAATGATGGACGGGTTCTTCTTGTGCATTGCCACTTTCAGAGCAAGCCTTATCGTAGAGTAGTATGGCGTCGGATAGTTGACGTCAGCGCCAGCCCGTATGAGTAAATTGACGATTTCGGGTTTGTTCGAGTTGATGCCTGAAATCATCGCACAGGTCGCTGCCGCTGTCTCAATGAGGTCTTCCTCAACACACAACTTGACGATGTCCTGGCGTCCTTTTGCGCATGCCAGGGAAAGCTGTGAGGAGGTTATAGGATTCGTCGTCTTTTTCTTGATATAAGGAACGTCTAATACACGCTGGAATACCGCCAGACTCGACTTGCGGATGGCTGTGTCGAGAAAAGTGTTGTACTCAGCTTTCAAGAATGTGAACCCTGCTTGCTTGTACCACGTGGATAATATACCAAGTACCTCAGGACGGGAATGCTCGACGGCGGCCAGGATGGCCCGTGAAATGTTGAACTCGCTCACTTCCCATTCTTTACAAGCAAATGGGTCTTGCTGGACGACCATTCGTATGCGCTGGGCTTCGTGAGAACCTTGCAAGGCCGCGTCTAGCTGTTCCAGTATGACTTTGACAGCAGGAACCTGTCCTTCTGCAGTCGCCCGCAAGAGAACACCTCCGAAGACGGGATGAGTATCGTAGCTGCGCAGTGATTCCATCGCCGTTTTAATGAGTCCAAGTTTTCCGAGGATTGACGCAGCCACGAGCTGATCGATTGCTCCGAAACGGGTGCCGAGGTACTCAGGTTTCAAGCCTTTTCTGCTGCCATAGCCTCGCAAAGCGCGTATCATTTCGTCATTTGTGGTGTCAGCGCCTAGTCTGTCGCATAGGTCCCTTTGCAACCCTTCTTTCTCGCTCTCCGTGACAGTTCCTAGCCCTTCTGAAACATAGCTGATCATGTTGTTGATTCTTTCGGGTAGGTACGGATGCACATCCAAGGGTACCCTACTTCGGTAGTAGAGGTAGAGGCCAAAATTGTGGCGCAAAAGGTCGTTCGAGATGTAGGTGAGATCTTTCAAGGTCCGCTTGGCGAAGATGTCGTACGTTATAGCTAGCTTGAATGTACCTCCACTCGGTCAGCTTCAATTCGTAATATGAGACCTCACCACCGCTTTACTCACCACAGACCCCACGGAGCTTCCAGGCCTCGTTAACGCCAGCGACAGAGACTAGCTCATGAACGACGTTCTCAAACACTTCCACAGGGAAGTCGAGGAGTGACATGACCGCAGACACTATTGGTGGTGACGTTTTAATGTTCTTGGTCTGTGACGTGCTCATATTGGCTTTGATGTAAGGTTGAGGCGACTGGGGTACCTTGGTAGTCTGGCCACTTGCCGAGGTATGTTTCGTGGTCATGTCTTTGTAGTGAGATCGACTCACAGCTATCGGTATCAAGAGATGAGAATGAAGAGAAGATTGGAGGAGGAGTATAGTAGTTGGGGTGCTAGATATACTGCTCTAGCGTGGCGCTAGCGCCATGTTCTCGCTCTTGGTGAGAGAACACGTTCTGAGGGGCGATAATACGGCCAGGTAAAGGTGGAAAGGTCACCTGTACTCGAGAGGCAGAAATTCAGATAATTGTATGCAGCGTTCCTGCCCGGCCTCCCGGCAAACATATCAAATTCGATGTTTGCGTCGCAACTTCTCGAGCCTATCCTCCTCGCTCTGCAGATATGCCTCCTCGTCCTGCTCCATTCTGTTCTGACTCTCCATGAACGTCGGGACCTCATCTCCACTCTGCTTCATTCTGGCGTCTCGCAAAGCGTTGTACGGCTCTGGTTCCGATATCGTGTACCAAAGGTCGACGTGACGCACGAGAGCGCCTCGCTGAAGAAGATACTTGACTGCAGCCATCGAGTGAGCGGCGGCGAACTCCAGCGGACTTTCATTCTGGGCTGGTGTCCCACAGTACGTTTTCGGCTTGGTAGTCAGGTAGTCCGTCTTGTTGATGTCGGCGCCAGCATCAAGAACTGCTCCGATAATAGCAGTGTCGTCGTCCGAAGTCTTGACAGCGACATGGAGTGGCAGATTTTGAGCGGAACCCTTGTTGACATCTACTTGTCCTTCTGATAATAGGACTCTGACAATGTCTAGGCTATGTGCCTTGCAGGCATAAAGAAAGACGTCTGTAGTGACTTTTGGTCCACGTGGAGAATGTAGCACTATCTGGCGTACTATCTCCGCATTTGGAGGCTGGACGAATTTCACGGCTTCTCGCAGACTCTGCACATACACATCCCTCACGCCTTTGTGATCATGGTACGACCTCTTCAGAAACTCTGTGAGTCGACCGACAGTACCGGCAGAGTGCTGGTGTATCGCAAGCCTGAAAGCATAAGGTATGTAGAGGCTCTCAAGAGTACTCTTTCCCTGCCGGCGCTTTGCATGATCCAAGATCAGTTGTAAGGTGTCTTGATCGTCTGTAACCACTGCTGCAAGAAGCGGACTCATACGTCACTAGCGGCGACAGGATCAGGCACCAATCACGTGCTCACGCGTCTCGGTGCTCCCGAGGTTCCTACCTAGGTAGGGTTCCAGGGTCCAACGTTTGTGCACGCATCAGCACAGCGGGATCCACCCATAGCCAGTGAAATGACAGGTGATGCGCAATGATCAGTCTTGCACCTCGTCCTCCGTGTACTCCTGCAGCAAGTCCTTGCGGCCAGCATACGGCGACGGCTCGACATACGTGTCCTGAAATCGTTCAATCCAATCTTCTCCTATCTGGGCCGGCGTGCTTTCCTGGTCGACTGGGATTGGCGTATTGCTTCCACAGACGCTCAAATCGCCTATGTCGAAACGAACATTTCCCTCGCCTTGTTGTATCCCTCGCATAACGCGTGTGAACGATTCAGAAAAGAAACAGCAACTGTCCAGGAGGCTAAGCGGGCTTATGGGACGTGGAGCGAGCGGTTCGAGTGTTCTTTGCCACCTGGCATCCTCGAGCATTTGCTCAAGGAGAGCGAGCGTGCTTGCAGTGTTTCTGGAGTGGAAGATCAAAGAAAAGCGATCGGGAGACAATCTCGATGAAAGAGCCACGGCTTCCTCAAACCACCGCATGAAGGCCTGAGATACGCGCACTCGTTCTATCTCTCCGTCGATATCCCAGACTTGACCATCGTGGTATTGAACTACAAGTTGCTCGAAATAGGGCTGACCGATCTTACTCGTGATGGCCATAGTCTTTGTATCTACTTGGCGACGAATACTGATGCGGGGATACTGTTGCAAAATGCTGACTAGACCCAGGCCATGGCACTCCGAGTATGCTATGCTGGCATGGGCTTCATCGAGTACAATCTTGCGAACAGCGGATAGAACGCTCGGGTCTAGACCGTTGAGAAATTGTATGGCAAGCGCAGCTGCGGAGAAGTAGCGCTTAATGGGACCGTCCTCATATATGGGGCTATCACTCTTTGATGAACTCCAGGAGATGCATCGTTCTTTCAGCGAGGCGATTTCTGCTGGGTTGGGTATCATCCAAGGGTCAGGGGTCCCAGCGAGCAGTGATGCTACATTTGGCTGTTCAGGCCGCTGCCCAAGGACTTCGTCATCTTTCCAAAACTCCCACCACCTTCTTGTCCCCTTTCCCCGGGACAGCATGAACTTGACGAATCCACGATGAATGGAAGGTGGATGACGCCAAAGTCTCCAGTCAACCACCATTTGCAGGGGGGTCGGTGCAATCGTTTCATGACCTCCGCGAAGGCGGTGAAGCAGCGAGAGACATTGGGGAAAGTCCACTCCGGCATGCTCAATCATATCTTCGGTGATGGCTTTACGAACCTTGTAAAGTTGGTAGGCGGTCTTTACATGAATCCATTTGAGAGCGATTGCAAAGGACGCGGCTCTATCGCTCGTCTCACGGTCGACCCAGCCCGTCCGAAAAGTGACGGTATTCGTTTCAAAGATGACGGGTCTTAACTCGTGGGCTACTTGACTGCAGGTTTGCATGAATGAGAGATCGATCGGGTCGCCGTTGGCTGTGCGTAGCCTGCGCGTGCGCTGATTATAGAGGTAGCCGCCATTCTGGGCAGCATAGTGGGTATAAATCTCATCCCGTAACTCTCGAGGCAGATCGAAAACCCCCATCATGGCAATGTTGTAAGTGGTGATGGGTTGCGGGATAGGTTGATTGTTCTGATGAGATGGGTGAGTGATGATGGATAACTAACGAAGGAGCGAACCATGGACCCCACACATTTCGCCAAGAGGAACCGGCAGCGAGAGCGCTCGACCATGAGCCGCGATGAATGAAGCGAGACTAGCGACACCGCTGTGCCAAACAACGCCGATGCCTAGAGCACTACGTTGTCTCTGTGGCAATGCGTGCAAATGCAAAAAGCACGAAGGTTGAACGAGGAAGTGTCGGTTGAACAATTGATTCGCGTGCCAACACACCTCAACCAGCATGACGTCTCTAGTGTATCGTAGATAACCCAAACGCCGTAATAATGCAGCCTGTATAAGGATAGAGACCCATGTACACCATATGATACATTTCGTCATTGCAATCCATCCGTCTCTTCTGTACACCCGCTTATGATGCCATCACCTGAAGTTGGCTGTTCCCGGCACGTCCTTGATCTCCTCAAACTTGGTGCCCATCTTCACGACGCTGTATCTTATCAAACGAGGGTCCAAGCTCATGGTTCGGCGTAAAGCGTGCTGTGCGCGGGCACTCGCATCGAAGCGCATGATGAAGTGGTGGCCGTAGTGGTGTGTGGTTTGCAGCTTCTTCGCTGGCTTGGGAAGGAGGAAGGTGCCCCAGTTGGAGACGCCGCGGACTACGCCTTGTTGGTCGAGGACAATCTTTCCGGCGGTTTTGGCGATTCTGGAACATGTCGGGTCAGCGTTTGGCTGGGGGTGTTGGAGGGCGAATTTACTCTTTAACTTCAGAGAGGCGGCCGGGCCGTACCTGCGCTTGTTAGCATGTACTTTTGTGATCAATGCGACGCTCCTCATACCACTCCGATCATCTCGTACAGCATCTTGCCTCGTTTGCGCCGTGGTGTTGCTGCCGTCGTGCCTTCCGTCGCGAAAAGTGTTCGAATGCGGCCAACCTTTCCGTAATCGCGGAGGAGCTCCACCAATGTCTTGGCGCGTGTTATCACCTTTCCAGCGCCCGCAACTTGAAGCTTCACAACCCACACACAATCTGCTACAATGGCTGCCCGGACTTCAATCGCACGCGCTGCGCGCCAATTCACCTCCGCCGCCGTGAAGAGGCCATCACCATTCGTCTGCCAGAGGTGGCAGCAGGCGGCTCAGAAGCCACGGTTATTCTCGGTATCTGCCGCACGTACGCACATCTGAAGCTCTGAGAAGCAATTGAGAGGCGAGCATGGGTGCTGACTGAGGGCAGTGAAGGAGAAGAAGTACACCGAGGACCATGAGTGGATTGAGATGTCTGCAGACGGCAAGACATGTATGCGCACCCTCCCCCACATCCCCACATCCCCATACGCCCTTACTGTCCAAGCGTTCTGTGACTGACACATCGCGTAGGCACCCTAGGTATCTCCGAATACGCTGCAAAGGCCCTCGGCGATGTCGTCTACATCGAGCTCCCCCAGATCGAAATGGATGTTAGCGAAGGCGACGCCATTGGCGCTGTCGAGTCAGTCAAGTCTGCCTCAGACATCCTCACACCCATCTCTGGCACCGTCGCGGAAGTCAACTCAGCGCTGGAGCAGACTCCAGGCAATGTCAACAAGGACCCCGAGGGCGAGGCGTGGATCGCCAAGATCACCGTGTCTGGAGAGCCAAGCGGCAAGACCATGACCAAGGAGGAGTACGCCGAATTTACTGAAGAGTAGACGTGCGGGAAGCAGTTTGGGGGAGGGATGGATGCATGGGATACAGGCACCTAGGCGCACACTTCAACATGAAATGCGAGACTTCAGTCAAAATCTCACTTTGCGCGTATCAGCTATCGAAATCGCCATACCTGCGAGAGAGAGAGTACAGAGCATTGACAGCAAACAGGATCGCATTAACATCCCAGAAATTTCGTACATTTCTACTCCAAACGATTCTCCTCTTCCCATGCTGTTTCCGACTCCCCAATCCTGTCCACAGCTTCAGTCACCATCTGCGAAACCTCCAAATACAGATCACGAAACGCTTTCTCTTTTCCTATACCCCTGCCCTCAAGTATAATCTTATCATCAACGACAAGATACATGACGTATGTGCTGTCGCGCGCAGGGCGACTAGCCATCCTCCGCAAACGAAAATACACGTCCGATCTGATATCCAGCTGAGGGAAGTAGCCTTGCTTGTACAGCCAGGCCATGTTTGCTGTTCAAGGAGTCAGTAAACATACACAATGTTTGAATTAGGCTAAGCGAGGGAAATGAATGAGCGTGTCATGTTGATGAGGGAGATGCTCACTGGTCAAGCTAACATCGGATTTAGAGACCCGGAGCAAGAGCTCGTTGAATCCAATGGAGATGTCTTGTAGCGACAGATATTTGCGATCTGCATCTTGTTAATTGTTTGCCCTCGCATCAAGTAGGTCTGAAATCAACGTACCGTTGGCATGCCATAGTCTAGTATCTTCGCGCTCTGCGACTTCCTCCGCTGACTCGGTTGAAGTAGATGGCGACTTCAGTGGGCTTTTCATGGATTCCGAGGGGTTCTCTTCTTTTCCAATACCCATGGAGAGGGCGACGTATCCCAGCATGGTCGTGGGAGGGAGCATACACAAGACGCATATCGTAGTTAAAATCATGGCTTGATGTTGTAGCTTGATGCACCAGGAGGCTTGTTAGTTTCGAAAAAGCGAGGGCTGATGGTGAGCTCACACATCGCCTATGTATAATATCCAACGCTTGATATCTGGTTGTCGCTATGCGAACCTTGGGAGAGGTTTCCAAGAAGCGAGAGTAACCAGGCTGTGTCTTTCGCGCTTCAGAGACGACGAGCCAACCACACCTTCCGCAATTCATACGGCCCATGAACAATGACATGGTCTCGAATGAGAAGTATGGGAAATCTACAAACTTCTTCCCAGTGTCCCAAGGTTCACGTATCTAAGTCACACTACACTTCTAACCCTTTGAAAAAACATATAGAAACGCCCACCCGCACCAAGACCTCGATAATCCAGCTAAACAAATCGCACCGCCGCATACGTTCCCAAGGCACAAAGCTGACCACGACATCTCATCAAAGCTCCAACATGACGAACGGCAAAGCCATAACACCCTGCGAAAGCGCCCTCACTGCAGGCCCAACTGCAGATCCCAATCGACCGTCATCTCCAAGGTCCTTGGTGTCAGAATTGAGAGTACTACTGGGAGTGATAGATTCCCGCCCGAAGCCCACTTTCACACAATCGCAAGTCGCAGTCGAACTCAAATCGGCATTCTCACGTTATTTTCTCATCTACGACGACGATGATGATGACGAAGATGACGAGGACGACGTTGATGAGTGGCTGAAAG